CTGCTGCTTTCTGCTTCACAGGGGAATAGGTTGCTTAAAGTAACATGTCTATGAAAAGATGCAGGTTTTCAGTTACTTTGGTTTCATGGGCACTAATGGATAGTGTTCGAACTGGTCCTGTGAGGAGCTGGGGTTTCTGTACAGGTCTCTGGATTGCAGAGGTTGGTAAAGTGATGGGAGCAATGCTCCTGCATTGCCATGGGATTGAGGGATATTAAGATTGTTCAGTAGCAACTGTGAGGGTTTCTTTGAATCATCAAAGTATTTCATTATTTTCTTGGGGGAAAAAGGAAGCCAATGTTGGCTGCTGTTGGTTCCAAGTGTTCTTGTAATGTCATGCTTCAGTTAGCAAGAGAGCTCCAAAATACAACAGGCCCTTCTTTTACCTTGCTTAGGATCTGCAGGGCTGGAGAGCTGTTTGATCACGATTATTTTTATTTTCTTTGACAGGACTGTCTGAGATGCTTCTTTAAGCAAGACACACTGACTCAGACCAACCAAATCCACTGTTCCTGCTGTGGAACTAAACAAGATGCTGCAGTAAAGGGCACCATAACCAAGGCACCACAGATCATTATTTTTCACCTAAAGAGGTACAGTCTGGATGGGGTACATTCTCATTTCCAGGGGTTTGTGAGACATGAACAACACTCACTTGCATCTGCAGAAAAGGAAAAAAATGGTGTTTATAGTACTTTTGGTACCTGGATGCTAAGTGGGCAGTTATAGAAATACACCTGCCAAACATGCAACCACAATACAAGTTGAGTGTTGTTTAAAAGAAGGAAACATTTGTTTCAGGTTTGAATGGCAAGGCAGGTGCAGAAGGAAACTCTCCACTGCCATCAGCTACCCGCTCAGCAACCTGGATCTCTCTCCTTACAGTTCCCCACTTCCTGGCAAGGACACAGAGTACAGCCTGTCTGCTGTAGTGGTGAGCTTTGCCTTTCCTGCTGTTACTTGCAGTGCCCTGCCCAAGGCAGCAGGTGAAGCCTGTGCTTGTTCGCACTTATAAAGTGTAGTTAGAGCATGTGAGAGAGAGAACACTGTTTCTCTGTTCCACTAACAATGTACAAGCTTTTCATATGTATTTTATATATAGATATTTTGTAGAATCATAGAATCACTTAGGTTGGAAAAAACCTTTAAGATCGAGTCCAACCATTAACCCCACTCTACCAAGTCCAGTACTGAGCTATGTCCTCAAGTGCCTCATCTAGATGACTTTTAAACACATCCAGGGATGGTGACTCAACCACCTCCCTAGGCAGCATGTTCCAATGTCTGACAACCCTTTCAGTGAAAAAGTTCTTCCTAATGTCTAGTCTAAACCTCCCCTGGCACAACTTGAGGCCATTCCCTCTTGTTCTATCACTTGTGAGAAGAGACCACCACCTACCTCTCTACAATGTCCTTTCAGGTAGTTGTAGAGGGCAATGAGGTCTCCCCTCAGCCTCCTTTCCTTCAGACTTAAATAGCCCCAGCTCCAAAAGCTGCTCCTCATAAGACTTGTTCTAAGGCCCTTCACCAGCTTTGTTGTCCTTCTTTGGACACACTCCTGCACCTTGATGTCCTTCATGTATTGAGGTGCCCAAAACTGGACACGGTATTTGAAGTGTGGCCTCACCAACGCCAAGTACAGAGGGATGATCACCTCCTTGGTCCTGCTTGCCACACTGTTTCTAATACAGGCCAGGATGCCATTGGCCTTCTTGGCCACCTGGACACACCAGGTTGCAAATAGAGAAACACAAAGATTGCCAGCTCCTTGCTTTGCCTGTAAGGAGAAACAAGCCTTCTGTTTTAACAGCCTGTGTTGTTACAGAACCACTCTGGTTTTCTGGATGATGGCCACTACACGGCGTTCTGCAAGCACTCAGTCACCCACAACTGGTACAGCTTTGATGATGCACACATCACCGAGATTCCGAATTGCCCACTGCAGACTAATACAGCTTATCTCCTGTTCTACACCTGTCAAAGCCTTCTCTGCAGCTATTAAATATCTGCTAGACATGGAAAATGAACAGTGAGTAGGCCAGCAATTAGGATTCATTGGCAGCATTAGCCACACTGTGTTTCATCAATAAACTACAGCATTTCAATGCCTGATCATCTCTCGTGGTCTTTCAGGAGGTAATTTCTAGAGAGAAGAGTTACAGCTTCTGTGCCTGCTAAGAAATGTCTCTGCTCCATTTGTGTAAGGTCTAGTGGTTGTTTTCTGTGACAATCCTCATCCATCCCTCAAAAGAAAATTAATGCTGAGCACCTAAGATGCACTCACCTGAAAATTCCCCTTTCTCTGTTCATTAAGTACATGATGTTAAGATGCCTTTCAGAAACTGCCAGTAGGATACAAAGGTGAAAGCATCCGACCAAACCGAGGGTGTATGTCTCAGAAGAGAGGAGGGGATGAAGTGACCATTAAGAGAGGGGGGGAAAAGGCATTATTCTAGTAATTTTTGTCCCTCTAGCACTGTACGTTCATTTGCAGCTTAGCCTGTGGAAAAACAGTCATAGTCTTAATTCCATCATGAAGACACACAAGTAGACAGATGAAAGCTCAGAAAGTAGGATTTAAGATTTCTGAATGCCAACCTAATCAGAGAGGGAAAATTAATCCAACTCCAGAGCAAGGAAATGCACAAGCTGCAACTAAAATAATTTCTAAACTAATCAGTTTTACACAAAGTAGTATTTTTTTCATGTGAACAGTCTTTAAACTGTACAAATTATTCAGGCTGTCATTATATAGAATCCTGACAATTACACAACTACTTGAGAATAAAAACACCAAACCCAAGCATACATTTAACAGGATATATTTTAAATCATTTCTTCAGTAAGGTTTTTAATGCATGTGTACATGAAAATTTATATTAAAAAATTAAAAAGGAAAATCTTGTTTGTTTAGAATAACTCTGAAGTGCACAAATATTGACAAAAGCTAACAAAAAAAAATCACAGCTCTGCTTTATTAAGTAGTGTTGCAATTACTTAGAGCTGGCAAATAAACGTAATCCTCTGAGTTTTAGAGATTCTCACAAAAAGGACAACATTTTATTATATACATAGTTCTGATGTGCAAGTATGCAATCAATATGTACACTTACATTCCTAACTGTTTACATCATTCTAGAGTATTTACAGTAGAATCAAGCTTAAGGTTAGAAATGTGAAAAGGCCATAACAGTGAAAGAAAAAAAATAGAAGTCAAGATATGCCTTTGGATTTTAAGACATTTTAAACTACTTGTTAATTGGCTTCAGATGACTAAGCTAGAATTTAATTTTGGAGCAGACTAAAAATATAGTTGTGTTTTTAAATAAATGGTAATGCAAGTATGCTTTTTAAATGGTTTCACAGATGGCAGTATTACCACAAGCATTATTCATCAGTCTTCTGATTCTTGAGCACTAGTACTGACCAGAAAGAGCCTGCTTGCAGAAAAGCTGCTGTAACCATCCCTCTACCTGCAAGTGACTGTTTGTCACAGTTTTGCATATTTATATGCCTTCCCATATCTGCTTTGCTCTTATAAAAGGAAAACCAGTTGTCTTAACCCACACTACTTTATGTGGCCATGTCCACTGCTCGCTGTTCATAAGAAGTGTAAAAGAGAATATATGCAGCTGAGGATTTCACAGATGATGCTGAGATCTCAGATACTTCATGGTCGTCAAACTTGAACCAGCGTTGTTTTGAAGCATTTTTGCAATAGGCTGTATAGTGCCCTCCATCCAATCCACCATAATGATTCTGTAAACAGAATAAAAGAATGAAAAGCATGGAAAGCTGCCATTTCTTCCCTGCTTAGGGAAATAAAACTAGAATGTGAGATTTTTACTAAATACCAGTAATTCTATTTTAGAATACAACTTACTCTGCAACCTGGTAGGCAGCCTGGAAACCTAGTTGAATCACACAACCTAACACTAAGTCTTACCATAAAGACCAGCTTAACTTTAAAATGTGATGTGGTTACTTACTGATACTGAAAACAGATTGTATCTCTTCAAGTTATTCTTTGGACCAATAACATACTGTGAAAGGTCAAGAGTTTCCAATGGGAAATCTACAGAAGTTTGAAGCTTTTGCTTCCATCTTCCATCATAGGAAAATCTAGAGAATTAAAAGGCATAATTAAAGTTACAGGTTGTCAACAAGCTATTTAAGAATGTTGAGCATGTTTGTTTGTTTGAACAAAGACATGATCCCGACTAAAGCATTTGGTTCCCAATTCTGTTAATGCTTGCACATGTGTTTCTCAGCACAAATGAAAAGATTATTTGTAAAAGTGCTTCATCAACTACAGTATAATAAAACAGGCATCAGATGGAAATAAAATTCTCGCAACATTACAACTGGAAACACATCTGAAACTTTCTCTAATTAAAACTGGTTAGCTGCTGCAGTGGAACCATCAGCCTCCAGCAAAGCCTGGTCACTTAATCCTAATTAATTTTCACTGTTTCTCTTACCGTTTCAAGTGCACAAGAAGAACAGGTGGTAATTTCCAAATTTCTATTTTTTTCAAAGAGTCTCTTCGAGTTTTGCAATGGCTACAGTAAAATCTATTGTTATCAGTGAGCTTTTCCTCTTTGGAGAACAATCTAAGGCATTCCTAAAACAAAATGCATACAGAGATTGTGAAGGACAGGTGTTTATTAAAGTATAGCAAAAATGTTTGGGTCTTATTTTGGTTGCTAACCTGCAGCAGTTTCCTCATCAAAGATGAGGAAAGTTAAATTCATACGTGGAAGTCAAGTCCTAAAACTTTACCTGCAATTTTTTGTTTAAAAACAACAAACTATTTATACTATGATCTAAAAAAGATATACTATACATCTTTTCTGCTACTGTGGCTTCAGTATTTCCATCCTGATTGTATTTGAAAAGTTTAAGGAATTACCTTTTTTTTTAAAAAAAAAAACTTACAAAATTAAAAATAATGACGACTCAGATCTGTTCATGTTTCAGGTTAAATTAAATTAAGCTGAGATATTGACACTTCACTAATATTGAGCTTGACAAGAGGCTGAGCAGAAGCAACATCACACTGAGGTCACAGAGGAGTGTTTTTTCTGCAAGGACTGTTTCTCCCAGCCTACCTGCAATGTGCATTTACTGGTGGATGCGAGTGGTAACGACAGGTACATGAAAGCCTCAAAGGTCCGGGACTTCTTGTGACATGTGAGACACTGCACTGTGGATTTGAACTGGCCTTGGAAGAGTGCCACAATGATGGATTCATTCAGCTGTTTGTGTTTGTGCCAGGCCAGTTCTGCTGCTCGGAAGTCATCAAGATGATCATTGTTTTCTTCTTTGTATCTTTTCCTGTTGTCAGCCTGGGTAAGGTAAGTTTAAATACACAGCCATAGTTAACATATGTAAAATCAGAAGGTCTCATCCCTAGGCAAATATACTATTCAAGATTTGCAAGAGTATTTACACTTCTCAGTGTAGTCCTCCATTTCTTATCTAGTTAGGCTTCTTCCCCTACTTCCTTCCATATTTTATACTGTTCCAAATAAATTCCTACGTCAATTCTGAATACTAGGTTTTTTCTTCTATACAAGGTTCCAGTAACATCATTGTCTAATGAAATAAGAGGATCTTTTAAAAATTAATTTCTCTTGATCTTGTGACAGATGTATATTTTGTTACAAGAGTTTTGCTTACTTTATTTAGGTCTTCATGCAAGCCATCCATTAGAAAGAGAAGTAGTTCTTGGGAATCCTGCTGACTATATCCTGCAAATTGGTCATTAATCTTCCCAATTGTAATTTTAAAGTCTTTTGGACTAATATATTTATACTGTCCTGTCCATAAAGCTTTCATTATTACACCAAACTCTTCAGCCACTTCACCTTTATGCCCCAGGAAATTTGACCTATACAATAAACAGACAAAAAAAAAAAAAAGCCATTCAGTTAATGATTTGGTAACATTTTAAAATAAAAATATTGTTTGTAATTCCAGACGTCATCCCAATTTCAAAGTTTTTTCAAGATTTTTTTAGACCAAGAAAAAAATGGCTGTGGGGACAGTTAAAATTTTTGTCTACTTTGGCACTGTAATTTGGTTTCACATTGAAGACTGGGCTGACAGAAGGTACAGGTGTTGCCAGCTATGTAAACTATTATTTACATATTCTGTTTGGTTTTAGGACACTCTAGGACACTTATATTTAAACATTAAGCACAATTTCATTAAGACTGTCCAGTAAAATCTATTTTGTCACCCACACAAATTTTGACAAGGAACCAACTCTCCCCTTAATGCCAGTAAGTGATTTTTTTGCATCAACAATTGTAAAGGCAGATTTTTACATTTAAATTCTAAATTAAAGGATGAGAATAAGAGGAGATTGTTACCTGTTAATATCATCTTGATACAAGTTTCTGTTAAAATAATCAGCCAGGTGAGGTGCATTGCACAGACACTGTAAAATGGAATTCATATAGCAAGTGTTCCCTAGATTCCGAAGTCCTGTAAGAGCTGGTCCTGATCCCCCAAACACAGGATTAAGATTCCGAATTTGTGATGCAGAGAGTCTTGAAATTTCTGCTTTAGTATAACAAACTGGTCTGTAAGGAAGATATTCTTTTTTAGGAGTCTCAGACGTGACAAGACTGTGCACATAAGCCAACAGAACCAAAATACCTTGGGCACAAGATGTGACCCAATACCATCATTTAAGGTACTTGGGTCAATGCAACAGTGAGAAAGCCACATACACTGGCCTATAAGGAGACTGAATATAGGCTCCATCAGTGGTTCTGGATTTTATTTTTATTTTATTCAAACGTGACGAATTAGCTATCGATTTAACCAAATTTACAAACTGAGAACTCTGCATTTCACAGGCTGTCGGGAGACTGGCATTTAATAGGCTAACAAAAATAGCACCACTTGAAAAGCAACTATTGTCCAGTGACAATAATTAAAAATTAACGTTAATAGATAACAATTGCAGTAATTCTCAAAGGATAACTGAAC